AGTATTTGCTGCCTTCTACTATAATTTACTGATCCCAGTGCAAAGATGGCACTTCTGCCAAAACAACTAACAAATCTGTTTTGGAGAAGAGTGAAGCCAGGGTGCTCCTTAGAGGGAAGGATGGGGAAACCTCAACTCAATATACGTTGGGCATGTTGTTAGGAGGGGCCAGTCCTTGGAGAAAGACGTGATGTTCTGAGAAGTTGGATGGTCAGCAAAGGAGGGGAAGACCTTCTCCAGGATGGATTGACACAGTGACTGTAACAGTGGTGCTACTGTATGATGAAGATGGCATAGGATAGGGCAGGTTTCAGTTCTGATGCTCATAGGTTGCTGAGTCCTACTCAACTTGATGGCACCTGACAACAATTATGTTTGTAGTTTGCAGGGAATTGTGTTGGCATAATCGGTAGGGGGTTGTACTGCCAACCCAAAGGTGATGCCTCCAGTGGTTTGACTACGAATGACTCTGAGGGAGAATAGTCTCCTTTGGTGCAGTTTACACCCTCCAGAACCTTAAAGGATTAAATCAGTTTGCAGGGAGCTCTGGGGTAGTCCATAGGGAGTTGCGCTGGTAACCCAAAGATGCCTCCTCTCTGGCGGTCATATCCACCAGCACCTCTGTGAGACAAAGCTAGGCAATCCCCTCCAAGGTGACTTAGAGCTGAGTCAGTTCTTGCCCCAGGATGAGGACTGACAGCGTACAGTCTGAAAGTTCTTGCCCTTCCCCATCTCCTCAGTATACAGCAGATGCAGAATGAGGGCATCTTAGTTGGGATCTCCTAGGATTTAGGTGTGGGCCCGTGTCCCTGTCTCAGTCACTTCCCCTTCCCAGCCTGGGGCTCCTCCCCTCACCTGCATCTCCCCCAGGGAGGATGCCACAGCCACTTCAGCTCCCCCTCTCCAGTGCAGGAGGATCAGCAGTTTCTCTTCTCTGCCCAGCTCCCCCCTAATTCTCATTCACCCTTCACTGCACAATTCTCACCACTCAGTGACCATTTTCCCCAACTCATCGTTCCTGACCTACTGTCCCCCTTCACATGGTTCTACCTGGCTCTTCTACCACACCTCCTTGTGTCACCACCTCCAAGAAGCCCACAAGAACACCACTACGCCACTTCTTACACCAACTTCTTGTCTAAGAACTTTCCCCATCTCAAGCTCTCTCCTATAGTTGTTCAGTAAAGGGCTCAAGTGCAAACTTTGGGAGGATTTATGCCGGGGGAAAGGCATTCTAGCCACCCAGTGTGGTGTCCTGGGTTGCTGAAATATCGTACCTGAGGCCCAGTGAGCAGAAAGTTCCTGCAGGGCCTGGCTTAGATGAACTATTAAGGGAGAGACAATTTTTCATCAACTGCTTGGTGCACAGTAGGTGGATCAATAAATAGGGCAACATTTCTAATGTCTGCTGATTAAGGGAAAAGTTTGATAGTAAAAACACCTGGCTTCTCTGTGGCTACTTTCTCAGAGACACCAGTCGCTGGCTTTCTTCCAAAGTTCTGAACACAAAGCCAGTGTCCCAGGATCAGCATCTGGGAAGACACGAATCTCTGAAATACACCTCAGGAAATGCCAGGACAGGCCTTTCCTGGGATCTGATGTTTCTCCCAATTGACAGAGAGGGTCCCATTATTTGCTTTTTGTAAAAAACCCCCACTATCAGCGTTACACACAGGTAGTCATAATGGTAACACACAAAGTTGTGTCCCACTGCCCAGGCAGAGAAAGCCCCAGCCCCTGGAGTGCTCCATACCGCCAACGTGTATAATGCATCTCCTGAGTTTTCCTTTTAGACTTTGACAACTATGGATAATGAGAGCTCAGTTCTCTTTCACACTGAACTGAGTTCCACCATGCATTTTACTGGATTTCTTATTTCCATGTCTGCATTCCTGTTTGTAAATATTACTACTTGGCCATGCAGGGTCCTAGAGCAGTTCTTCCTTTACTACTACTTTCTGTTTGGCAGGAATGTTTCAGATCCTCCCGAGCTTCTGACCCTCCTGGGGGCCTGGATCAGGTCCCTTGCCAGCTCTTGTTTTCAGGACCCCATAGCTGGTCTCACCGCTCTTCCTCAGGCAGTTTTCTGAGGATGTCTATAAAGGAGGCATTTTTTAAAAAGTTTTATTTAAGGCTTTTTTTTGAGGTTTTTCGGGAGGTCTAGTGGCTTAGTGGATGAGTGCATGGGCAGTCCTCCTGATGCCACCCAGTATTGTCCTTCTCCAAGGTCGTGGACTACCTCTGTTCTTGGCCATTTCTGCCTTCACCAGGCACCTGGATTCCTCTGAGGCATGGTCGTCATTCTCATGACAGTGTCATCCTCTTTGCCATTCCTTTAGGCACACTCTCTCTCCCATTTTCTTAGGTCCAGGCACATTCCCGAGCTCACACAAGGGGGCCCATGAGTTTGGCGTTCACTTCCCACCCACTCAGCAGCTCTGGGTAGGAGAAGGGAGGAAGGCAGCCCGTTCTCCCCATGTGCTTTTTCACATACAGGCTTCTTGAGTAGTTTCAGGTCATTTCAAGGCCCAAGTAAGGGTGCTGGTCTGTGACAGGAAGACCTGTTGAAAAGTCCAGTGACACACAGGCTAATGATGGAGGCTGTCCCAGCCCATCCTTCCCCCCTCCCCATTCAAGAAAGGTGAGATTGGCCATCTGCTAGCACCAAGCCCCATAGACGGCTCACAGTGCCCCTCCTTCGTCAGGCAGCATTGCCAGGGACACAACACTTTGTGAGGGGAGACTCCTGATGCACCATGTGGCTGGGCCTAGCTCCTGGCCCTCACTCTCCAATCCATAGTAGGTGGAGGCCTGGCTCTGGACAGCACTGTGGGGACAGGGGCTGACCAATCAGCAGGTTGAGGGCCAGCCTGTCATTTTCAGAACCTTACAGCTCTGTTCACCCCTCTTCCTCAGGCAGCTTTCTAAGGATTATTGCAAAGGAGGTATGGTTTCTTCCTGAGACCCCTCATTGTTTATTTCTGGGAGCTTATGACCTAGTGGTAAGGACTTGCACTGTCAACACAAAGGCACATGGTTCAAATCTGCTGCTCAGCAGAAGGAAGATGGGCAATCTCCTCCTGTGTCATTTAGAAACTCTGATAATCTGTCAGAGGGTCAGTTCCATAGGTCAGGGGTGCTCCTCTAACCATCTAAGCAGGGATGGGAGGGCCCAGCAGAGTGGACAAGGAGGTCCTGGGCAGAGGTGTGACAGTGACAAACCACCCAATGAAGTGTGTGGCCTGGAAGAATGCCAGCAAGTCACCCCAACAATGCAGAGGGCACTCTCCACACAGCACCCCATTCTCTTGAGCCTTGCTGCCATTTTTTTGGTACCCAGGTAAATTGCTAAAATAGAAAAACCAAACTTTCATATGATTGGTTTAATTTTTTTTTCAGCAGGAGAAAAAAAGAATAAAGTTACAAGACTCTTTTAATATTTTCACAATGTTAAAACTAAAACTGAGCTCTAGGCTATGTGTGTTAAGTAAATCTAGAACACAAAAGGGTTAAATAAGATTTTTCTCTTTAAAGATACAAGAATTTAAGCTTTCCTTACGTTTAACAAACTTCACAGAACAGATACTGCAGGGGAACAAGGCCTTCCTCCCCACCCCAGCTCTGTGTCTGGCCATGACCACGGCCCGAGCGTCCTCTCCCGGCCCAGGAGCCGTGGAGCCTGAGGAGGGCGCGGAGGGGTGCTCGGTGGGGACCTGGGGGCCGCCTCACTGAGGATGGCCACATGCTGGCCAAGGGCCCTGGTGTGACAACAGTGGTAAACGTGGGGCAGACCTGGCCCTTGTGCCTGGTCTGGGTCCTGAAGCAAAGAATTAAGGCTGGAGATTTTGCAGTGGATTCCACTCTGGGGGGAATAGGTGGGGGGAGGGGGTTGGGAAGAGCATGATTTCCTATTTAATATTCCAGATCTAAAATCACTGGTAGTTGCAGGTGTTCAGATGTTAATTCAGACAGAGTTGAACTATTTTATAAAAAGGAAAGTTGCTGGGTTAAGCTATCCAGTGGCCTGTGTGTGGGCAGGTCTGAGCTGCCTTTCAGGAGCCGCGGCTCGGGCTGTGGGACACATGAGACCTTTCTGAGGCAGATCTGCCTCCATCCACCTCCACCTCCCTCTGCCCACATGCCAATCCAGGCTGGGCATCTGCTGGAAAATGCCCACTTGAATAAAGCCACAGCCATGCACCACTGTGGAGAGGCCCACGCGCGGTCCCCATCAGATGTGGCCTTGCTCTGTGACCAATGGACACCGGTTGTCCTTGGACTGCGAGGCTGCATAGAAACACGAGCCAAGGCCCTGGTGTCACCTGAGGCTGAGCAGGTTCTGTGGGAAAGGACAGCAGCCGAGGGTGGCAGCGGCCCTAGCAGCTTCCCAGCATGTCTGCGGACTCCTGCGGCTATGAAACAGCTGGTTAAAAATTCCAATATAGAAATCTACTGCAGAGGCCAGTGTGGAAACGTGGCGGCTGGGCTGTGATTAGCCTTATTTGATCAACTGCCAGACCCCTGCACTCAGCAAACCAGAGCCAGTGGGGCCAGGGGCCCTGGATCCTGTGTAGAAAAGGTGGTCTTGCTGTGGACTAGTCTTGAGTGGAGCTAATTTCCAAAGTGAGGTTATTGTTTCTCCTCTCGTGTGATGAGAGTTTTTTTTTCATAGTAAGTCAGGTAAAAAAACTGTCCTAAGAGTCTGCCTCCCCACCCTGTCCCAGCCCTGGAAGAGCGAGGCTGCCCCTGGCCCAGCCATGCAGCCGGCTGACGTGTGGCCGCCGGGGCCCAGGACTCGGGTGAGAGGAAGTGAAAGGCTGAACATTGAACAGCTTCTGGCAAAGCCATGTGCATCCTGGAATTTAACACCAGCGTCTACTCCTCTTATCAACTTAGAGGCTCCATCTGGAACACTTCCGCTTTTAAGGCTTTTTATAAGTTTGACTCCAGCAGTGACAGGTATGTGTTGTTTTAAATCCACTAGCCATGCTCAAAAAAAAAAAATATTCTTCATGTTTTAATTTTATACAATGGCTAGCAGGCACCTTAGTAACCAGCCAGAAATCAATTTTTCAACCACCATCAACCCCTAAACTACAGTACCAGGATGGCTGGCTAAAGAAAGGAAACAGACTGGCTGGCGTCTGACACGTGCCCAGTACAAGGTGTCTGGCTGACTTTGTCCTAAATAAGGCTAACATTAGTGAACTAAGAACAGCGTCATGTGGCGGCCGCGCCTGGCCTTCAGGAGCACCCCTCCCCAATGCGCTGGCAGGAGCGCCCTACTTTCCGGTCCAGTTTCACCATTTTCATGATGGCTTCCTCTCGGCCGCGGCCCATGTGGTCAAAGGTACAGTCGTGCTGCTCAGGGAGGCGATGTAACATACAGAACACGTAACCTGGGAGAGCAGAGGAGACAGACAGTTAGGGGGTGCCAGTGTCCACATCCTGCTAGGCCAGAGCTAGGCAGGGGTTGTCTTGGGGCTGGACAATGGTCACAGCTGAGCTCCTGCTGCTGACCTTGAACAGCTCCACCCATCACATAAGGGGCTCTGAAGGACAGAGGAACCCCTGGAACGAGAGGGCTCTGAGACCCACACAACTGAAGGCCTAGGGAGGGGCGGGGGTATCCTGGAGCTGCTGGCTCAGCACCTTTCCTGCTCCGGCCAATGGTATCAGAACAGGACACCCCATTTCTAGAAAGCAGGGGTGCGAAGAGAAATGATGATGGCTTAAATGACATTCCACTTCCTGGCTACTTGGGATAGTTTTAACAGCTTTAACACTTAAGATTAATTTAAAGAATATTCCAGAGCCTGAGGGTGGCTGGGTAGGTGGGTGTGTAAATGGTCTGACACATCCCTGGCCCTGATACCCAGAACCTTGGCTTTGTGCGGGGCATGTGTCCACACACAGGGACGTGAGTGACCAGGCCGAGCCTGGATCATCCGTTTTGTAGAAAATACATTATTAACTGCTTCCCAGGGAGAGTAGGGCAATATGTTTGACTCTAAATTAGGACTGGGTTTAAGGAAAAGAACAGATGAAATTTTTGTCTCTCGAGAAGCCAAGCTCCCACTTGGTCCAAAAGCAAAGTTAAGATTAATGAGCTCATGTGTTATATTTACTGATAAGTTCATTACTTGAAGATATTGGATACCAGTTGTCTTTCTCCTAAAGGATTTCACAGCTGAAGCGTGGATGGCCTCAATATACAACCTCTATCTAACAAGCAAAACCACCTTTTCAGAGCAGAGGCCTGGGGTGGGGAAAGACCTGCCTGCCAGGAAGGGGCCTGGGGACAGCCCCCAGCAGTATGACACCATGATTTATCTGCAGACAATATGTCACCCACTCCTAATACATCCTGTACCATCAGAGTCTATAATAAGGGGCAGGAGGATCCCTTCTGCCCCTTCTTTTCCTTTAAGATATTCAGGGATGATTCAAGAGAGGAGGTCCCAGGGGCTCATCTCTCTTCCTGATGAATGGTGCTGGCTGAGTAAAAACAGCAGGAAATGGATTACGTCTGAAATTAACACTGCTCCTGGCTCAGCTTAGTACCTCATTAGTCAGAGGCAGACCTGGAGCTGGGGGAGGCTCTAGTAATGTCCTCATACATTGCCCTCAACTTTGCCAAGCTTGCCTGATGCAAGGCAAAGGGCAGGCCAAGTGGGAGAAAGGATAGCCCCTAACCCTGTGTGGAAAAGACATGGGTGGGAGGGGCAGTCAACAACAGTAAAGTCACTGCTAGTATGTCCACCCACACACTCTTCACTGCCCCAAGGCTTTTTGCTCTCCCAAACTTCTGTGTACTTCTACCAAATATATCATCTTAGCTGGCTTTGATGTTTTTTGAAAGATGAAAACTACTTAAAACAACAAGATTCTGGGAGTAGCTTTGATAACACTTAGACTACATGGCACTGGTGTTGACTGGGGGCTATTTCAGAAGGCTGTCTCCCTACGCTACTGCATGGATGTTATTAGATGGTATACATTAAGCTCAATTCCCTCTCCTGTCAGAATCTCTCACCAAGAGGAAGTTACACCCTGGAACTTGTCCCAGATGCTGAGTGGGTATAAAAGGCAGATAGCAGCCAATGGCTAAATGCATTTCAGTGTCAGCAATCAGGAGTGAGGTTGTAGAGACTGGAGATGGAAATGACAATGATTGGTGAGTGGGACCAATCTTTACCCTGTTTTCTGGTATCCACTCATCTGATTCCAAAAACCACTTCAAGTGTCATGAACTATCAATTACTCTCTGACTGAATTTTGGAGGTCAAGCTAGGTATAGATAGTTTAGGTTTCTGGGAAGATGAGGGCTCTTTAATTTCAATAATGAATAGTCTTAAAGGGATTAAAAGCTCCCATCCTGGCTAGACCAGTCCCAGGAGTTCTTCCATGACTGCCTGTCATCAGACACCAATGAGGGGACTTTCTACGTGGGCCTGGCAAGAGGACCAGATAAGATGAAAGCTCAAAGGGCATTAAACTAGTCACCAGAGTCATGATCTGTTCTGGTACTCATCATTCAAGAATGACTGGTTGTATTGGCTTTCCTAGTCACTGATTTTTTACTTTCACCACAGGGCTAGGTGGGAATATGCAAGCAAATAATAGTATGCAAACAACTTATGAGGATGAGCCTTGCCATCCCACCAGGAATAACCAGAGAAAGTTCAGGGACAAAAGATGGGAATCTTGCTAACATAAAGGAAGAAAGGGAGCATGCAGCACATATTCTTTGGGGTCAGAGGGCCTTGTGAGAGAGGTAGATCAAGACTCAGCAGCAGGCGGCGATTAGGAGCTCTATTACACAGCAATCATGGCTCCTGTTCCCTTGTCTGCCCTAGTCTATTATGTCCTATAATGGAGGGGCCGTCATGGCCATGAAGGGGAAAATTGTGTGGCCATCGCAGCCGATAGGCGCTTCGGGATTCAGGCCCAGATGGTGACCACAGATTTCCAGAAGATCTTTCCTATGGGAGATCGTTTGTACATCGGCCTGGTGGGGCTCGCCACTGACGTCCAGACCGTCGCTCAACGCCTCAAGTTCCGACTGAACTTATATGAGCTGAAAGAAGGTCGGCAGATCAAGCCTTACACGCTCATGAGCATGGTGACCAACCTCTTATATGAGAAACGGTTTGGTCCCTACTACACTGAGCCTGTCATTGCTGGCTTGGACCCAAAGACCTTTAAGCCGTTCATTTGCTCTCTGGACCTCATTGGCTGCCCCATGGTGACGGATGACTTTGTGGTCAGTGGCACCTGTGCTGAACAAATGTACGGCATGTGTGAGTCCCTCTGGGAACCTAACATGGATCCAGACCACTTATTTGAAACCATCTCTCAAGCCATGCTGAATGCTGTGGATCGGGATGCAGTGTCTGGGATGGGAGTCATTGTCCACATTATTGAGAAGGATAAAATCACTACCAGAACGCTGAAGGCCCGAATGGACTAACTTTCTCTTCCTCCCTTACCCTCAAGCCCATTTCTTCTTTTTTAAAATAAAATACTTTTCACTATTGAAAAAAAAAAAAAAAAGACTCAGCAGCAGCAGACGAGAAGGGGTGGAGAACCAGAGATCAAGAGACAGAGTTGAATTGGTGTACCTGGAGCCAGAGTTGACCTTCATCCAGGCTTACTGGAGAGCTGAGGCTGTTGTTGTTAGGTGCTGTCAAGCTGAGTATGACTTAGAGTGAACCTATGAACAACAGAATGAAACCCTGACCTATCCTCATCTCTGAAATGCTTTAGCCATTTCTGCAGTCACTGTGTAAATCCATCTGGTTGAGGGTTTCACCAACTCGCCAAAGAAAAGCCTCTCCTAGTAGAAGGCTTGAAATATGTGAGACAAATCTTGGCTTTATTTGTCTCCACGGAGCACTCTGGCTGCACTTTCCCAAGACACATCTGTTTGTTCTTTTGACAGCCCATTGGATATCAGATACTCTGCTCCAACACCAAAGCTTAAAGACATCAGTTCTTTTGACATCCTTATTCATTGTCCAGTTCACAGACACATAACAAGTGATTATAAAGATCATGGCTTGAATCACCTTAGTGTAACATTGTCCCTCAATAATTTGGAGAGGTCCTGAATGCAGATTTTCCCAGTGAAATGTCTCCTGATATCCTGACTGCTGATACAAGGTGTGCTGCTGATGTAGGAAAATGAAATTGTTGAAAATTTCCATCATTTCTCCATTTATCATGTTGTTGCCCAATGCTTCAATGGGTTGTTGTTATGTGCCGTCGAGGAGCTTGCAACTCATAGAGACCCTATGTACAACAGCCCTAAACTCTGCTCTGTCCTGTGCCAATCACACCGTCTCTGACACAACCATCCCGATTACCCCAGTCACTGAATCAATCTACCTCATAGAGAGCCTTCCTCTCCTGCACTGTCCCTCCACCCTCCCAAGCATGATGTCCCTCTCCAAGGACCTCTCCCTCCTTGCAACATGTCCAACGTGTGTCACACAAAGCCTCAGAATCCTTGCATCCAAGAAGCAGCCTGGTTTAACCCTTTCCAGAATGAATCCATTTGTTTTCCTAGCAGTCCATGGAACCCTCAATACTCTTCTCCAGCACCACAGCTCAAAGGCATCAATTCTCCTTCTATTCTCCTTAGTCAATGTCCAACTCTCTGATGCGTAACAAGTGATAGCAAAGGCCATGGCCTGTATCCGGCACACCTTAGTCTCCAAAGAGACACCATTGCTCTTCAGTACTTTGGAGAGGTCCCTAACAGCAGACTTTACCATGGCAACAGGTCTTCTAATTTCCTGGCTACTGGTGCCGAGAGTGTTGACTGTGGAGCCAAGCAAACTGAAGCTGTGAACAATCTCAATCTCTTCACCATCCATCCTGATGCTGCCAATTGGCCCAGTAGTAAGAATCTTTGTCTTCTTGACATTGAGCCTCAATCCATATTAGAGACTGCAGTCCTTGACCCTCTGCAGCAAGTACTTCAGGTCCTCCTCAGTTTGAGCAAGCAGGGTTGTGTCACCTGCATAACGCTTCAATGGGTAAGATTTTTAATTCTTGGTGTTGAGATGTAATCCATACTGAAGGCTGTAGTGTTTGATCTTCTACAGCAAGTTTCTTCAAGTTCTCACTTTCAGCAAACAAGGTTGTGTCATCTGTGTAACACAGGTGGTTGATGAGTCTTCCTCAAATACTGATGCCTCTTCATTCTTCCTCATAGAGGCTAGGTTATCAAAATCATTTGTTCAGCATAAAGACTGAATAGGTATGGAGAGAGGATACAGCCCTGACATACACTTTTCTTAATTTTGAACCACACAGCATTCCCTTACTCTGTTCACACACACAGTGTCCTGCTACAGGTTATACATGAGCACAATTAAGTATTCTGGGATTC